ACAGTTATAACGGCATATATAGAGATGAAAATGTTTTTAATCCTTTCTTGAAACATAAGAATATTCAAAGATTATTGCCTCTATGTAATACTCCATGCATTCAGTAACTATTTATGGATTCCTTGTCTGCTGAATCGGGGTTTACTGCACACAATCTTTTGTTCTTGAACCGTCGATCGGTGAAGAGGGGCACGCGTCCGAGACATGGCTCTTTAAAGCTAGTGTATGACTGCCTGAATGTGAGTGAATGAATTTGGTTTTACGCCGCTTTTAGCAATATTCCAGCAGCGGGGGACACCAGAAACAGGTTTCACACATTGTACCCATGTGGGGAATCGAACATGGGTCTTTGGCGTGACGAGCGAACGCTTTAACCACAAGGCTACCCCACCGCCCCCATGAGTGCCTAAAAAAGGTCACATGCAGGTGTGACTGCCTGTCAGTTATCAAATGACATCAAATGTAAAAAAAATAATTAAACGCTTAAATATGGAGAGAAATGTGTGAAATTTACGCGAAAATTAGCCGATTTTGTACAGCGAATTACGTAAGTGGTTTTTTTTCAGAAACATAATTTAAGTATCTTTTTAAAGCTTATTCATGTGTGCCATCTCTTTGAAATATGTCTACTCTTTGGTAACTAAGGTGTCACGCCCTGGGAAGGAGCTTGTTCGGTTTAAAGTCAAATGGAGACCACTCAATCAACTCAATCAAGCATATGTTTATCTCTGTGTTTTGTGGTGAGCAGAACACACGCTGATTGATCACTAGCGATTTCAGTTTCATTCGGGTCCACCCGGCGTTTTCCGTTACCTTCATACAACATAGATACGAACTTAGGATAAGATCTATAGATGAACAACTTCTTCATTAAAATTAGGACCGTCGTTTCGGTGTAGGTTCCAACACCGCTACCAAGCAAGTGAAACATAGATGCGACTCTTTGGATTTGAGAATCCGTGTCGTTGATGGTCAAAGGGAAGTAACTGTATATAATGTTTACCATTTTCTGAACAGATTTACCTCCCTTTGGGACAAGGGATATAATTCTTGATTTGTTGTACGCGGTAAGCTCCCTTTGATTGATGACGGTGTGTGAAGTTTTTAAGTGAAGACACTGTGCGGAGTTAACGCAAGGGAGTGAATTCTTGCACAAACACGATTGCCTCCCTTTGACCATAAACCGCTTAGTTGCCGCACTGCTATCGGAAGAGTAACGGAGGTGACACGGATTGGAAAGGAGCGTTTTCGGTTCCAGGTCAAAGGGAGACAACCCAATCAACGGTTGCGTGCACTCTTCTCAATATTTTGTAGTTATGATTTGGAGAATAGATTCCGAGGGACACGGTTATGGTTTCACGGGTCAACAAAGCTTAATTCGTTACCTGAATGCTGCATCTTGACTCACCAATTGGAGAATCAGTGCCGTTGATGGTCAAAGGGAAGTAACTGTATACAATGTTTACCATTTGCTAAACAGATTTACCCTCCATTTGGGACAAGGGACATAACTCTTGATTTGTTGTACGCGATTACCCCCCTTCGAGAGAGGGCATACGCCGTGTGAGAAGTTTAGAGACTGACACTGATTACCTCCCTTTGACCATAAACAAAACCGCTACCGCTATCGTGCGTTGAGCTTTAATTCGCGTAAATGAACATGCTGAGCGGAAATCCCAATGAATTGAAGTAGATGGCTTAACATGGGGGGGGGGGGGGGGGGGGGGGGGGTCATGCAGAAAGGAAAACATGACATATCATATTCCACTGTAATTAAATTCTGTATTTCCTCCAAAATTGCCTTCAACATTAAAGTTTGGATTTGGCTTGAGATCAATTAATCTTGACTTGAGAGCTTGATTTTAGATTGAATATCTTGAGACTGCGTGAGAGCTGGAAGGTCTGTGAGTACAATATGTGAAGCCAAATTCTTGACCTCCCAGCCGCAATATGCCTTGAAAATTGCTGAAGCGATGTAAAACCTAGTCTGTGTCCTAGACACCAAAGAAAATTATGATTCCAACTCAAGTCAAGAATGATTTGGCAAGTCTAGATTGCTCTGACACTGAATTTAAGCATTGTTCTGGGCTCTATTCGGATTGTATTTATTTTATTTTGTCGATAACTTTATTTTTACCCTGTAAACTCACTAACTCGCTGTACTGAATATGATCTTTTGTATATTTCCATGTTCCATTCCAAATAAATAACCCACATTAAATTCTTCACTATAAATTGGAAACATCTTCAGTTATTATTATTATTTTGTTATTTTGTACTTGACAAATATTCACACGCCTTTCTGTGCGGCAATTCACATTTATGCACAAATGTCACTGTGTCTGAACGATATTACTTTTAACAAATTATGTTATAATTAGATCAATAATTAAAATCAAGGATGTGTTTCTACATCACATTTTGGTCACAATAGTGTATAGAATGTAATGGAATCGGACATATTACAAAAGTAAAAGCGGTAACTCGAGAGGTTTCTGAAATACATGTATTTCGGATGGTGGCCGTAGAATAAAAGAGCCTCGACACATTATGCATTCCATTTAGTTTTTGTTTTGTTTGTAACTGTAAACAATTTTCCGTATTCTGTTGTTTGTGGCCCAATTTAACGTGCGGTCTCCTCCAATCCCACGATGTGGATAGAAATGCAAAACATGTATCCTCATTAATTTATTTAATGTAACTGTGCTAAAGGGAATCCTTGTAATTCACACATGAGTACATGTGAGAAATCATATTTATATAATTTCAAAACAATTATTTCACTTGCCTCTTCATTTTGACAAGCTCTTTCCACTTCATTTAATTATTTCGATGGGTTAATTGTGTATGGTTTGCCAGAAGATTGAGGCGAAATTTACACAAGATGAAGTGTTTTATAATTCTTTTTACAAAGTTACGGGGAAGTACACAGGTACATCGGACATAAAATATACATTACTCAGAATGAAACGCGGGGTGTTGTATATTAGACATGTTATATACATCATTATAAATGAAAGACGCGGGGGAGTATGTATATCGGATATAAACTATACATCACTCAGAACGATAGATAACGATAGAGGGTTTGTATCGGATGTATTATATTATACATACTTCAGAATGCTGTAGATGCAGACCAATGTAAGCTTTGAAACATGCTAAGAAGTATCCAAGCTGGATATTGACGATTGTTTCAGAATGGCATTCTACCCACATATACAAGTTAGTGGTAACCTCAAATACCTCCTTAACTTAACCCTATCACAAATACACGATGCAGGTAATGCAAGCTCAGAAGTTTGGTGTGCACATTTATAATAAATGTATAAATATAAATGTATAACTAACAGATATAAGCGGTAAGACGGATATGACTGCTCATGCATGCATGCATGCACCAGTGAACCAGTGAACCAGACCTAACAGAAAGGAATATATAGTTCCTCCATAGTGTTTTAGGAACCAGACAGCTTCAATTTGAAATAAAGGAAAGATATATTGAAGCAAGTCGAAATAATATATTTATATATTTAGTCTAAAATCACGATGATCCATGGACAGTGCATTGTGTATGTCTATGTTGGGCATTGCTTAAAACATACCCACCGCTTCGCTTGTCATGTGAGGCGACAATCGATGGTTGGTTGGTTGTTTAACGCCGCATTGAGCAATATTCCAGCTATATGACGGCGGTCTGTAAATAATCGACTCTGGACCAGACAATCCAGTGATAGACATCATGAGCATCGATCCATGCAATTGGGATACGATGACATGCATCAACCAAGTCAGTGAGCCAGACCACCCGATCCCGTTAGTCGCCTTTCACGAGAAGCATAGTCGCCTTTTAGGGCAAGCATGGGTTGCTTGGAGCGAATTCTAATGGTCTGCCAGGTAGTTACTGTTTCCATGTGTTGGCGAATGACTGATTTGATTGGCTGTTTGTCCCGGCTGCGATACCCTGACTTGTACCCGTCTGAAAAATCTGCGTCGTGTTACATCCGTCGCAGTGTTACTTGGACATCAAAATATGATGAGATGTACAGTGTGTGTTATAAACATTTATGTGATTCACTGAGGTCGACAGTGTTCACGACCAAATGAATTATTCACTTTCACAAAACGTGTCAAACTGAATTCATCACCAAGTGACAACGCAGTGTCATTATTTCTAGATTTGAAGGTCCGTTGTTTCTAAAGAAAATCGTATATAGTTTTCAATACCCCTGAACATATTTGAACAGTATAATTATTATTTTAAAGGAAAGATTTTGTGAATATTTTATGTCTGTTTCAGTTACATCTGTGAGCGGACACATCAATCAATGTGTGACAATCAGAGGCAAGTTTCTCCAAATAAATATGAGTGAGTGAGTGAGTGAGTTCAGTTTAACGCCGCTTTTAACAGTATTCTAGTTATATCGCGGCGTGTCAGCTTAATGTGGGAGGAAAGCCCGAAGTGATGCAGGTCTCAGACGTTTACCACTTCGGTGAAACCCGAGAGCACGGGTATGGTGCTGACAAACCTAGAAACATAACTGGGGCGAACCGGGATTCGAACCCACAATCATAGGTTCCAAATAAATATGAACACGTATTTTTTAATAAAAGCAACAAAGCCCTTTCCATATTCCATATCCAAGAATTCATCGCATTGTACGATTCCGACTATATCATGAACATGTGTTTATGAATCATTATCAAATATCAACTCATACACAAAGGAAGTGAAATGTTGAAATCAGTTTTCGCTTTATATGAGGTCCTTTCATTAAACGGGGCGGTCGGGTAGCCTAGTGGTTACAGCGTTCGCTCGTCACGCCGAAGACCCGGGTTCGATTCCCGACATGGGTTCAATGCGTGAAGCCCATTTCTGGTGTCCCCCGCCGTGAAATTGCTGGAATATTGCTAACAGCGGCGTAAAACCATACTCACTCACTTACTTTCATTATACATAACAGCATCAAGTTCATAACTGCATATCACAAAAGATGACGTTATTGATATTTTTTTAATTTACTGCAGATCATTGAGTATAATATTTCCACTGAATTTGGATGCATGAAACGCGTGTGTTCAGTATGTGCACTAGTAGCACTGGAACTGACACTCATGTCTTGTGAGGAAGTTATTACAGTTGCCCCCACAGCCTCCGTAGGTGAAAGGTCTGCACGTCCCGGAGAACTGGTCATAGAACCAACGGGGGAAGTTGGCATAGCAATGTCCTGAATCTGGTAGTTGTCTACAGAGGTCATAGCCTGGAAGAAGGCAACAGTATGATACAATACGCTCAATCCAACACGTCATCAACTTTCGAGTGAGTGAGTTGGGTTTAACGCCACCTTTAACATATTCCAGTTATATCGCGGCGTGTCAGCTTAAGGTGGGCAGGAAAGCTCGAAGTGATGCAGGTCTCAGATGTTTACCATTTCGGTGAAACCCACTAGGACGGGTATGGTGCTGACAAACCTAGAAACATAATCGGGGCGAACCGGGATTCGAACCCACAATCATAGGTTTCTGGCGTGCCCAAGGGACGCAACTCTGCACAGCGAATCGCGGCGCCTTAGACGACTGGGCACCCAATCAACTTTCGAACATTAAAGGAATTAAACATAATTCAACCATACTAGATTCTGCTTGGTCGGGTTTCAAATCACCTAAGTAATCACCTGTGACTGAAACAGCCAATATTTTGTTTACAAATATTACATAATGAAGTATTAAGGTTACTACAATATTTCAATACTATAAGTATGTGTGGCAATACATTTTGGGCAGAAACATACCAACAATTGACTAAAATGGCGTTTATCAAGTTATGAACTCGAATTGTTGTGTCATTCTGTGTACGACTGTGGCGTTCACACGCTCCTTGTCTCTCCTATATAAGAGAAAGCTAAATTAAGAAAGCAATATTTGAGCATGTAAAGATTTTTTCATGTTCAAAGGTTATTATCGGTGTTTCAGACTGACAACCCACATTCGTGACCAACTCGTGTTATTCCGGGACAAGCCGAATAGTGCCCTTCTCATGGCCATTTTTGCGACCGGGTTCCGTCTTAGCGCAAACGGGCATATCTAAAGCAATTGACAATTCGTTGCGCAATGGTTCACGTATATTTCCCCATATATTATATATATTTCAGATGCAATTTAAAGCACATCTGGACATGCGGAATTATACAGTATGATTGAACACATTTAACTGTGTCTTGGGTATATATTTAGATGCAAGACATATGTAAAAACAAAAATTATTTCTGAGGGATTCTTTGACGAAGAACTTGAAATCATACGCGCATTCTGATTGGTTTGTCGTATTTTCGCACATAACATTCATCGATAGGGGGACGAGTCTTCTTGCAGGTTACGGAAAGGGGCGAGTGGTGACGAATGAGGGGGGCGAGTCTTCTTGCAGGTTACGGAAAGGGGCGAGTGGTGGCGAATGTGACAACCCACTGAAAACATTGGACGCAACCCATGCTGCTTCACTTACTGTCTTCGCTGACCCCAAAGAGTGTTTGTTATGTGTTTTCAATGTAGAGCTACACTTTCCGTTCCAAATATAATGAGGTTAAATCTACAGGAAACCCCTTTACCACCTCAAGCCTGATTCGGTGATTTTGACTTTAACAAGAGAAACACCCACACAAAACACATGTATTCCTTCAATTGGCACTGTCTTTTGGGTGCATATGCAATGGCACTTACTCAAAAACAACAGGGTGCTTGAAATATCCACAACAATATATTGGCTCGGCAGTTATGCTGACCCTGAATGCTTCGCTCAGTGGTATTGAGAATTTAGAAGCCCCCCTTCCCCCCCCCACACACGCGCAGATTGGCTGATGAGAAATTTCATCTGACTATCTCTTATGAAGAGGTTGTCAGATCGTCACGCAGAAAAGAGTAGTATCCGAGTAATAGATCCAATTTTAAAGAAATTGGGTTAATAATCCGATTAAGTATGAGAAGTAAGTTTACAGATGTATTAACTATCAATGTGCATGACATTATATTTTAGTATGAACAGATTCTGTGTGCCCCCCGCCGTAATATTGCTGGAATATTGTTAAAAGCGGCGTAAAACCATACTCACTCACTCTGTTGAACTGGGATCAAAATTTCTTCTTGGGCATGCACTGTCACTATTGCACAAAGGAGGGGTCGCCAAAGTAGGAATATTCATTTTGGGAGGGTGATGTATTTGTAAACGCATGAATGAAATAAGAATACTCAACAGAGAGTGAGTTAGTTTTGTTTAAAGCCGATTTTAACAAAATGTCATGTTCGTCACTGCGAGTGTGTTAAATGTAGCCCGGAGTGGTGCAGGTCAAAGACGTTTATAAAGTTTGGTGAAACTCACGGGGGAGGGTATGTTGATGACAAACATAGAAACATAATCAGGGTGATCCTAGGATTCGATCATAGCCGTGGCTACAAGACGCAGGTCAATAGAGCAAATTGCGGCGCCTAAGACGACCTGGTAATTCGTACCACCACCACCCTCAGGCTCTATCAGGAACATTGAGGATGTTTCTATATTTGTATCATGCATGCTTCTATGATAGTTTGACAGATTTCAGGTGAAATAATGGGAGATTCGTGTTCAGGATTCAAATTAACATGGAACTACATTTGACATTAGGAAAAGTACGACATATATTGATAGTGTAACAAATAAGTCATATAATTTCAGTGAAAAGGCATTGCGTAGAGAAACAAAGTCTTGGAATTTGATACATGGCATACGAAGCGATAAATTTCTTGTTGGATTCTCAGTGTATTCTGACTGTTCCATCCCCTGTGGGTTCTTGGTCAAAATAGGTTCCCTGCCCCAAATGTCTATCTCAGAGAACGGCTGAAGTTTTGTGCTGACTGCCCCGTGAAACAAATAATAAACAAAGACTTTGTCGACCAATCAAAACAGTTTGGGATGGTGGTAGATATAACTGATATTTTGGGTCGAGGTCTTTCAAACGTACAACCGCGTTGATGGTAAACGTCGAGTCCAGAGAATAACCAGTCTTTATGACCTACCGAAACAGTGAGTGAGTGTGGTTTTACGCCACTTTTAGCAATATTCCAGCAACATCACAGCGGGGGACACCAGAAATGGGCTTCACACGTTGTACCCATGTCGGGAATCGAACCCGGGTATTCGGCGTGACGAGCGAACGCTTTAACCACTAGGCTACCCGACCGCCCCACATACCGAAACAGTGAGTGAGTGTGGTTTTACGCCACTTTTAGCAATATTCCAGAAATATCACAGCGGGGGACACCAGAAATGGGCTTCACACATTGTACCCATGTCGGTAATCAAACCCGGGTATTCGGCGTGACGAGCGAACGCTTTAACCACTAGGCTACCCGACCGCCCCACATACCGAAACAAATTGCTTTGGTCGTAAAAAGCAAAACAGCGGTGAAAATTATATGAATGGATCATTGAAAATCAGTGATGACACCAGGTCTTCGCGGAAAGAGTATGCATGTCCTGCTGTACCGGTATCAACCGGTAATACTTTATACAGTAAACTACGTTTATAACGAACACGCTTATATCGAACTGACGGATATAACGAACTTACTTTTTTGTCCCTAAAATTTGCTGCAGTTATGCTGTATATATGCTTATAACGAACTACGGTTATAACGAACTAAAATTAGTGGTCTCTTTGGGTTCGTTATAACCGTAGTTTACTGTAGTACAATTCTTGAAGTAACACTTACCTCCACATGCAGCGCGACATTCATGCAGGGTGTAAAAGTTGTTCGCATTTCCATGGCAACCTCCATATATGAACTTCTTGCAGGCACCAGTCTTGTAGTCGAAGTAGTACCGAGGCATCGCAGCATAACACGGTCCTACGACTTTAGGAAGATGACATACGTTCTTGGGAACAATGGCAGAGGCAGGAAGAAGAAGCCCCATCAAGAGGACCACCAGACTTGTAGCGCGGACTGACATGTTGCTGCGGAGAGAGTGAGTGCGTGAGAGAGTGAGTGGGTGAGTGAGTGAGTGAGTGAGTGAGTGAGTGAGTGAGTGAGTAAGTGAGTGAGTGAGTGAGTGAGTGAGTGGGCGGGTGAGCGAGTGAGTGAGCGAGTGAGCTAGTGAGTGAGGTGAGTGAGGTGGGTGAGTGAGTGAGTGAGTGAGTGAGTGAGTGGGTGAGTGAGTGAGTGAGTGAGTGAGTGAGTGAGTGAGTGAGTTTAGTGAGTGAGTTGGGTTTAAAGCCGCTTTGAAAGTATTCTACTTGTATTGCCGCTTAATGTGGGAGGAAAGCCCGAAGTGATGCATGTCTTTGACGTTAACCACATGGGCGAGCACGAGTATGGAGTTGACAAACTTAAAAAACATAATCTTGCTGACCTGGGATTCGAACCCACCATCATAGGTTTTCTGGCGTGCCCAAGGGATTCTGCTGAAGGTGAGTGAGTGAGTGAGTGAGTGAGTGAGTGAGTGAGTGAGTGAGTAAGTATGATTTTACGCCGCTTTTAGCAATATTCCAGCAATATCACGGCGGGGGACACCAAAAATGGGCTTCACACATTGTATCCATGTCGGTAATTGAACCCGGGTCTTCGGCGTGACGAGTGAACGCTTTAACCACTAGGCTACCCGACCGCCCTTCTGCTGAAGGAAGTAGCTTTGTAGTTGTATGTTGTGTCTAAATTAACCGTACATTGGCATATCAGCGTCTTACGGAAGCCTTTTAGGGCCATTTTTTTTCTCTTTCTCGATACTATCTTGAAATTTCAAGATACTAAGTTGAAATTTCAAGATACTAAGTTGAAATTTCAAGATACTTTCTTGAAATTTCAAGATACAGAAGATGAAATTTCAAGATATTAAGTTGAAATTTCAAGATACTAAGTTGAAATTTCAACTAAGTATCTTGAAATTTCAACTTCTGTATCTTGAAATTTCAAGATAGTATCTTAAGTTGAAATTTCAAGGTACTAAGTTGAAATTCCAAGATACTATCTTGAAATTTCAACTTAGTATCTTGAAATTTTAAGATAGTATCTTGAAATTTCAACTTAGTATCTTGAAATTTCAACTTAGTTTCTTGAAATTTCAACTTAGTATCGCTTCCGTAGAAAAGGCAATATTTAGAAATACTTACTTATAATTTCTCAAGTGTCGTGTGACTCTTCTGTTCATGGACTCAACATTTATAGTCGGCCTTGATTAGACAACGCATGATTGATTGCACATGCTATGTTACAGCTGTTGGGTGAGACAGAGTTCTGTAACATATTAATCATTGTTGCTGTCTGGATGAGCATTAACAAATTAGGCCGAAGTTTGATGTTGTGCAAGGTACGTGCAGGTCGCATATGGCGAGTAGTCTGTCGCTAGTTGTACATGACCCTGCAGCCAGTACCGGCTTCTACCGCTGGGGACGTTCAGTGTGTTTGTCATTTGTGTCTGATTTATAGCTGGGGAAGAGAAAAATGAATATATTTTTTTAAAATACCTGAAAAACGTAGGGAGTGAATACATGTTGTTTTACGCCATCGTCAGCTGTATCCAACTGCATCACCACGATCTGTAAATAAACGCATCTTTCATGAAAGCACGAATAACGGTCCATGACATCTGGGTACGATGATCGCAATCTGCCATATTATTGAGTTTAACCACCCGACCCCTGGTACTGGGAACCTATTGTGATATATTTGGGACCTATTGTGATATACCGAGGACCTATTGTGATATACTGGGGACCTATTGTGATGTACTGGGGACCTATTGTGATATATTTGGGACCTATTGTGATATACCGAGGACCTATTGTGATGTATTGGGGACCTATTAAGATGTACTGGGGACCTATTGTGATGTATTGGGGACCTATTAAGATATACTGGGGATCTATTGTGATATACTGGGGACCTATTTCGATATACTGGGGACCTTTTGTGATATACTGGAGACCTATTGTGATATACTGGGGACTTATTCGGATATGATTGGGACCTACTGTGATGTACTGGGGACCTATTGAGATATACTGGAGACCTATTGTGATATACTGGGGATCTATTGTGATGAACTGGGGACCAAATTGTGGTTAAATTGGGACCTATTGTGATATACGGAGACCTATTGTGATGAACTTGAGACCTATTGTGATATACTGGGGACGTATTGTGATATACTTGGGACGTACTGTGATGTACTGGGGACCTATTGTGATATACTAGGGATCTATTGTGATGTATTGGAGACCTATTGTGATATACTGATGACCTATTGTGATATACTGGAGACCTATTGTGATATACTGGGACCTATTGTGATGTATTGGAGACCTATTGTGATATACTGAGGACCTATTGTGATATACTGGAGACCTATTGTGATATACTGGGGACCTATTGTGATGTACTGGGTGTGTGATATACTGGAGACCTATTGTGATATACTGGGGACCTTTTGTGATGAACTGGAGACCTATTGTGATATACTGGGGACCTATTGTGATATACTGGAGACCTATTGTGATGTACTTGAGACCTATTGTGATGTACTGGAGACCAATTTTAATATACTGGAGACCTATTGTGATGTACTTGAGACCTATTGTGATGTACTGGAGACCTATTGTGATGTACTGGGGACCTATTGTGATGTACTGGGGACCTATTGTGATGTACTGGGGACGTATTATGATATAATGGGACCTATTGTGATATACTGGGGACCTATTGTGATATACTGGGGACCTATTTTGATATACCGGGGACCTTTTGTGATATACTGGAGACCTGTTGTTATATACTGGGGACCTACTGTGATGTACTTGGGACCTATTGTGATATACTGGAGACCTATTGTGATATACTGGGGATCTATTGTATTGAACTGGGAACTTATTGTGGTGAACTTGGGACCTATTGTGATATACGGAGACCTATTGTGATTAACTTGAGACCTATTATGATATACTGTGGACCTATTGTGATGTACTGGGGACCTGTTGTGATGAACTGTGGACATATTGTGATATACTAGGGATCTATTGTGATACACTGGGGATCTATTTGGATATACTGGGGACCTATTGTGATGTAGTGGAGACCTATTGTGATGTACTGGGGATCTATTGTGATATACTGGGGACCTATTGTGATGTTCTGGGGACCTATTGCGATATAATGGGGATCTATTGTGATATAATGGGGACCTATTGTGATGTACTGGCCATGGAGACCACCACTTCTCAAGACAAGTTACAGAACATTCGGATTCACGCATGTCACCAATGTGTTCTGGTTGTTACAATACAATACATACAAACATGCAGATAACTATTTTCAAGAATATCCATTCTGTGAATAGTAACTCAAACTGTCACAAATATGAACAAAGAAATATCCAAAATCATTTCAGGAACCATTCCACACTGTAACATTGTTTTGTGTTCCTGGAAATAATAGCAATCCTATGCTCAATGTCCAAGTCGCCAGGAAAATGTCCGATATCAACATACACATCAAGTTATCCATGTTCACTGGCAGTTTTAAACCTAGCAGAAATATTACACATTACCTTTGGTTAAACTTTCAACTCTCGTTCCAGTCATAAGACGCAGGATTCCATCGCAAGTAACAGTGACGCAGGCGGAATTTTTATGTTAGAACTTGGAGCGTGGCTTGGTTACAATGACTAAAACTGTGAAATTACAGCTTCAAATATGCTACAATATAATTAACTTGTTATCAAATAGTTCCATGAAGTTATTTGACACGGATGATTTGTTTGGTGAACGGCTTATTTACTTTCAAACGATAAATAAACAAATGCAAAGTTTACCGTTTGATATCCGTAACCATTTTGATGTCTTTGGCAACTTTTAAGTGAAAATGATAAATAGAATACACGCGTCCCGTATTACCTCGCCACTCGTGATGAATCATCTAAGCATCAATCATGCTGTTTTCGATAAAAAATATTCAAATACGGATGCTTCAAACATATTAACATTTACCTACACTACAAAGCAAAAGTCTTTACTTTATTTCGCAAAATTTCTGCGGGAACAATTTCTGCGCGGTGACTACGCAGAACGTTTGTAAAACGGCTTTTACAGTATCAAAAGTCATTTACATTCTTTGTTATCTTGTTGGAAGCTTTCATTTTACTTAAAGGGGCACTGATCTAACGCAATTCCCCGGGACTGGTTGTTGCCTTTGTTATTGTTTTTTTCCCAGTGAGTACCCGGATGTATAGCAGAAATCTAGACTAGTTCGCGACCTCTGTTGCGCCTTTCGTAGGCGCATTAGTCACTTTTCTGTGTAGTAATAAGGGCGTATGGTCACATTGATCAACAAAATGAAATACAGTTTTCGAGATAATAAGGAAATGTAGGTATCTTTGTGGGTAGCATCGGTAATGGTGACGAAGTTTTGATAAGTCACTTGCTTGGTAATTTTGCGATTTTCGTTTACACTATTTTGACTTGCAACACAAAGTAAATATTTCACCTGAGCATTGCTTTTTTTATAGTGTGTATATTTTTTTACTGTCAAATGTGTAACAAATTTATTAAACGTCTAAATATTCAGTTATTTTACAAAGTGACTGAAAAACATTTCCATCTGTATTATTATGATAACGAATTCCAAACATTTTGATGTGTAATGTCATCACCAAGAGACTGAAAATTTACGTTGAAAAGTACATTTCTATGTTGTTTGGCTTCTAATCCTAAATAATAATCTGTTGTGATGTTTGTAGGCCCTTTTGATCGTCTTAATCAATCTGGGCAGATTTTTTAGTCAAAATGACTGAAATATTTACACATTTTATAAATTGCCTGAGAGAATCACATTTTACAAATTGACTGTAATATATACACGCTTACAAAGGAAAAGACCTGTGAAAACAACGTCTGTCGCGCATTGAAGAATTTCCCAACCAAGACGTAGAGAAACAAGAACGAATCCGTTCAAATGAAGGAAAACAAAATGCAAATTTCATAATTACAACCTACAAAATTTATGTGTATAAATATTAGGTAGCTTCCTTGTTCGAGGAATGTATCCGTGAATATCCACACAAAGCAACAATATCCCACTCGTCTGCAGCTGTACAAAGAAAATTATTCGATGTCACGTGTCTCAGTAACAATCAAATATCTGTATATCTATAAGATATATATCGTTTCGGGATATTATAACCCGTGTTCGTTTCTCAACTGATCACTTGGATTGTTTCAGGTGTTTTACATAGGTGTCAAGTCTCAGTGGTCGGCTGAGAAAGCCCACGTGACAACTATTTTCATAACGTCCACGGTTCCTAAAAAATCCATTGAGTTATAGATAACAATGATCCATTAATCAACGTATCATCAGTTAACCCTTTGAACAAAGTATGTTGTTTTTACATCGGCACTTCACGCCATGATATGAGTGTATTCCCTTTGTTTTAGTAAACCTAGACATGTAAACACTCACTCTTGACATATCCACTGTGCAAGATAACAGTGATTAATCAATCAACGTATTTTCTGTTAATCCTTTGATGACTAGGAACGATCCGTTCATTTACAAAAAAAAGTAAATCAACTGATCATTCATCTCTTGCTGGGCTGCCACGTACATATTACATAACACACATTTCAACTCACTTCAAACCTGGATTTAGATTGAACAATTAGCCCAGACACAATAAATGCCAAATGGGAACCTCTGTCAGGTTATCTAAGTGGCGCTACCACTAATTGTACCTGTAATAAATTCATTAACTGAGCATCAAGTGAATGACGACAAATACACAAGTGTAGGGTTATACGAGAAAACGTGGATGACAACTAGGGAGTAGTAATCGTATTATCGACGCAAGCCGAAATCCGAAAATGCTTTTACTGCATGGATACCTTTTTTTAGTATTAAACTATAACCATCTGGGGGTATTTCCAAATGACGATATCCGAAGAGCTCCGCTGTTCTTTTTGTCTGTTTGTTTAGGCTGAAGAAATTAATTAACATGCGCCCTTTGTCGAAATCTTTATAGATCACGGTTAACCAATCAGTGTTCAAAAATGCGTAAAACAAATATTGCCTCCAAGTTTATTTAGCTGTCCTTGCAGACGGTAGCCCAGTCTCTGGTCACGCTCAGTTGCGTTGCGTATCATCCGGGTACTCACGGGGAAATAAACAATAACAAAGGCAACAACCAGTCCGGGGAATTGCGTTAGATC